TTAGGGTTTAAGGTTTAAGGTTGAGGGTTAAGGGTATCAGGTTTAGCGTTTAAGGTTAAGGGTTAAGGGCTTCGGATATAATGTTTAGGGTTTAAGGTTTAGGGTTTAGGGTTTAAGGTTTAAGGTTTGGGGTTTAAGGGTTTAGGGTAAGGGGTGAGGGTTAGGGGTCCGGGGTCAGGGGTTTAGGGTTAGGGTTTTAGGGTTGGGTTCTTGTTAGGGGGGTTGAGCATGTGGGGTTATAACCTGGGATTTAGGGTTTGCGTGACGGGAGCATCGGCGTGAAGAGATAGAAGCTGGAAAGGCGAGGCACTAGACCGGCAATCACTTCGGTCACCATGCCAGATTCCAGGACTTGCTTCCTGGGCTGGGTTCAACTTTTTTTAATGCACCTTTTTCCACCTTGCAGTTAACGTCGGCAGAATCCACAAACTTTTTTGGGCTTAGGGTATTAGGGTTTAGGGTTTAGGGTTTAGGGTTTATGGCTAGACCTGAGTCGATCATCGACGACTTCCGGTCAAGGACTTCCACACCGATTCTGCACAGACTGGCCCCAACCGTGAACGGAATCCATGCAAACCATACGATCAAAACACGGCATTCGTGGTGTGTAGAAGGTATACCTTCGAACATCTCTCCACATGAACGCATGTGTATATGTATGTATGTTTATATATATATGTGAATATTATGATATTTTTCAGACTTGCACTTGTTTACACATACATCTACACATACATACATGCATACATTACATTACATTACATTACATTACATTACATTACATTACATTACATTACATTACATTACATTACATGACTAATTACATTACTAATTACATTACTAATTACATTACTAATTACATTACATTACATTACATTACATTACATTACATTACATTACATTACATTACATTACATTACATTACTAATTACATTACTAATTACATTACATTACATTACATTACATTACATTACATTACATTACATTACACTACATTACATTACATACATACACGCATCATGCATACATATATACGTACATAACGACACACATACATGCATGCATGTAGAACAAGACAGGTAAACATGTATATCTGTGTGTGCATGTATGTATGTCTACATATGTATATATGTATATACATATACACATATGTATGTATGTATGTATGTATGTATGTATGTACTTAGGTTTAGGTTTATGTGTATATATGTATCTTTGGGAGAGTACACGTCTGTATCGATGAATGCATACATGCGTACATACATACGTATGCCTATACACACATATGCATACATGCATACGTGGAAATGTGCATACTTACATAAGTACATAGAAACAGGCATACATACATTAAGCATACACACAAGCATACAAACATGTTATTATAACTTATCACACATTGAAGACAGAGCCGTAATTCACAATATTGCAAACACATGTACACACAAACTTGCACTAACACGTCTGTAGGGCGATGGAGCACGAGAGAGAAACAGAGAGAGAGAGAGAGCGAGAGAGAGAGAGAGAGAGAGAGAGGGAGGAGAGAGAGAGAGAGAGAGAAAACAAACAAAAGATAACGCATCAGCGATGATGAATCTGATGTGCACCGTCCCTCTGTGAGACATCTTCAAGCAAAGCTTCCGTGCTGCTTCGCGGGAACTGCCGTCCAGAGAAGAGATCAGCTTCAGCATCCTCCCAGTCATAGCTTCTGCTCTATCTAAGCAGCATACCTATAGTCTCTATTGTAGATCCATTTCTTGGTTCAACCTATCAGCTACATACTTAGGATCCTATAAAGTAACCACCAAAAGAAGGACCTACAATAGAGACTACAGGTAGATCCGAAAGATCCCACCAAGATCTTTACAGGGGATTGTCGTCTGCATCGAGCAGCTCGAAACATGTGATGGTTCAGGTTTGAGGGGCTGTTTGTTTGGGAATTTGGGATGTCGAGACTGTCTTGGTTCCAAGCAGCGCGCAAAGGGCGCAATCAGCCTGGGGTGGATAGGTGGATAGGTGGCGCGTCAAGGGCTTAGGGGGTGCATAAGCGTATGTACTGTATGTATGGGTGGATGTATGGAACTATGGATGGATGGATGGATCTAGCCACGAATGCCACTACTCCCGGAAGACATGTGCGTGCGGCTAAAAATGATGATGCATGGCGCAGAAAACCCAAGCAGCGAAGCAAAAGGAGATTGTCATGAGCCCCACCTGGGCTCGATTGCGTCCTCTGGGCGAAATCCTCCACTTTCGAAGAGAAAGGGATGCTTTCGCCCATAGGCCTTGTACCTGGGGCGGACATGGCTGCTCAAAAGCGTGCGATACGCTCCGAAAGTTTCGCTCTTGGGCTCTTCAGAATCGCGCGGGCTTGCTGTCTAGTATGAGGCTTGAGCTGTAAGCCTGCGACCCTCTTGCAAGACTTCCTAAACCTGGGACATCAGGAAACCAAGGGTTCAGTGTTTAGGGGGTGGTGTTAAAAGTCTAGGGTGTAAGCCGCTGCAACCCGCAGAACAGAACCCAAGAGATTAGGCATGCCTTCGACACGACGGTCATGTCTTACGAAAGACCTGACTGAACGGAAGACAGGCCTTCAAACAAAATTGAACCATAAGCTCAAAGCCCACGCTGGCAGACAAAATGTGCAACTTCGTGTACACATGCGTAGTTCTCCAAATTCGAATCCTTTTTTAGGCCCCCCCAACATAGTACGGCACCCTTATGAAAAGGACTCCAAAGAAGACCCTAATTTCGAGAACTACCCAGAGGCATACATACATACATGCATCCCTCATGCCTCAAACCCAACCCAGACAGTACCACATATGAGACCTCGAGCCCCAATCAATAAGGTCGCTATCTAAGAGAGCCAAGGGTCCCCTCTAAGGGATCTCCCTAATACTACCTAGGAACATTGAGACCTCAAGCGCCCCAATTCATCGACCATTTGGGAAGCTGCAGTGCGAAGCCTCAAGGGCCCGAACCCTCGAACGAAACCCTGGAAAGCCTTTTCGGGCTGAGGGGCTTGGGATGTCTTCTGTTTGAGGGTTTAGGGTTTAGGGTTTAGGGTTTAGGGGTCTCAGGGCATTTGGGGTTTAGGGTGTTCAGGGGGCTTCAGGGTTGGATTCTGGGGAGCTTCAGGGTTGTGTTCATCAATAGGGTTCCAGGATGTTCTAGGCTATAGGCTTCTCATGGCGGGGCGCACTTGATATAGGGGCCTTCATACTTCTAATAGGGTTTTGGGTATATTATACAAAAACTGTAACTATAGCTGTAACTACATTGAGGAACCCCCAAAATACTGTTGGTAATTGTTTAGGCCCCTATATTACGGGTTTTGGGTCCCTGGACCCTAAACCCTAAACCCCCAAACCCTACAGGGTTTAGGTCCCTGGGGGTCGAGAGTTCCCCCACCTGACCACGGTGCTGCTGGACTTGGAGAAGGTGGCAGCGCTCTTTTGCCAGGCTCTCTCGTCCGAGTCGTGCAGAGAGCCCCCTAAGGACAGGTGCAGCACTGTCCTTGGCACGGTTTAGGGATTAGAATTGAGGGGTTTAGGTTTGGCGGGAGACATATGGGGGCCTACAGGGACTAAAATAGCATAGTATTGTGTAGTCTTGTATTTTCACAGTTATCTACGGTAGTAGTATAGTATAATATAGCAAAGTATAGCATAGCAGTACAGTGCAGTACAGTCTGGTATTTCTTTCATACCATATTGCTGTATATAACAGTATAACTCTGATGTGGAGTATAGCGGCATCAGTGCTCACGCTCCTACAATACCCAGGTTGATCTGTTGTGATGCCTGGTTCATTCACAGAGCCGCGCTGAGCTTTGAACACGCTTACGGGACGCACGGCCACATCATGCAAAGTAATATATTGTACCTATATTTAAGACGTAAGAAGGAACCCTCAAGAATAACATTGGTAAGTATTGAGGCTTCCAGATCTTCCAGATTGTGCTACGACGTAGCAGCCACATATGCCCCAAAAGCTTGGCAACCCGGCATTCGACCCTTCAACTCCCAATCCGTAACACCCTAAACCCTGCTGGTCATAATGAGGCCATCCTTTATAGTAAACCCGAATACATCCCTTATAGAAGCCCCTTGTGCAACCCATGCAGAACCCTTAAGGACGACTGATGCCTTGTCCAGGAGCAGCAGCCCGTTGAGATCGAAGATCGAAGTTGCGCCGGGACTTCTCGCGCTCTTCGGGCAGACGCTCTCACAGCTGCCGGGAGATTGCGCGCAGTCCTCAAGCTAGGGTTTAGGGTCTAGGGTAATCCAGGGGTAGGCCGTGCTTGGACTCTTCGTTAGGGTGTTGGGTTTCGGAGTTCAACCAGAGATGCGTATTACTTTCAGACCTATTTGAAACAAGCGCAGGAAACAAGATGGAAGCAAGATGACCCTAAACTCTAAGCCCCAGACTGCCATGAGTTCTCAATGTCACGACGGACAAGATTTGAGGACGATGGTGCTGCGCCATATATCGACGTTCTGCTTCGTACGTTCCCCAGGCTCCCATTTCTCTTGAGTGTGCAGAAGATCGAATGGACACTCCCAATCGTCGAACGTGCCGAAGACATTCGCTCCCCCGTAGCTCTCCATGCATCGCGCTAGGAAACTCAAATCCACCAAAAGTTTCTCAAAGCAGCCCGTGTCCAACTGCCGCAGAATTCTAAGAGATGCATTATCGACAGCCTCAACCAGTGTGGACATCTTCGTGCGACGGCCCTTACTTGATGAAGCAGCACCTGGCAGATCTTGTATGTTCCTGATGAGATACTGCTTGACAATGCGTTTAGCTGGTGTGCTGGAAAGAGCTATCTTCACCAAGTCATTCGCTTCCTCGACCTTGTCATCGCCAGATCCAGGTGGCAAACAGGTATTTCCCGAAAGACAAGTGGCAAGCCTTTCCGTGTCGGCAACAAGGTCGGCGTGGACAGAACCGAGGTCCTGGATCATAGCCAAGCACTCATCCATGGTGTTCTCCGTGAAGAAAGGAATACACCACTCACGAAGAAACAGCGCATCCGGGTGTGACAAGTAAAACGTCAGCGTGTCCTGCGGGAGAAGCTTGTAGATGCCTTTTGCGTGATCGACTAGTTTCTGTTCCGTAGTGAATGTACCTTTCCCGAAACGAATAATTACACACAACTCGACGCTTCAACTGATCGCAGGAACGTCGACGGTCACCACTTTCCTCTATCGTCGGTATGTTCTCGTAGTTAAGCTCCTGCACTTTCACGCTAGCGCCGAAAGTTCGTTTCACTGTAAATCCATAGCTCACTCGCAGGTCGAGCTCTTCATCGACCACAAAGCGCTTCCATATGTCTATTATGAAACGTCCATGTCCTGGACTCGAATGTTCGCTTTGTTCCAGGATAACCCTGCAGACTTCCGGAATTCTGCACGGTCTAGAAACACCGTGCAATCCAAGGTTGAGCCTTCTTCACTTCCAAACAGTGCCTCATCCAGGATAGCGTCCGTACCCTTGCCGGTGCCGCCCTTCGCGGCCAAGAAGAGGATCCTGGACGTGCAGACTTGAGCAAAGGCTGCTGTCATGAAGCATAGCTTAAGCTGCAGAGCATGCTCGTTGTCGAAATAGACAGACTCCAGGAACGTTCGGAGCACATTGCGAAACTCCTGAATCGACATACCTGGGTGGCTTCGCAGCGTTTTCTCATAGAAATACGGATATCCAGCGCGAAGCTAACAGAGGCCGGGACCTGCAGCATGAGCTTTGTATACGCATGAAGGAATGGAGTGAGGAAGGGGGGGGGGGGGGCGGCCAACACGGGGGGGGGAGGGGGGTCGGCCCAAAAAAAAACTATTACTAATTTTTTTTGCCGACCCCACCAATCCCGATCTTGCCTCCGAAGGACAATACAACCTTGAAGACTTACGTATATGAGGCCGTTATTCGTTATTTATCTACTATATAGAAGACTCTGCGTACAGTAACAACATCATGAACTTGTAGCAAGTATATCTCGCATGTACAAGAAATACAGGAATCATTAACACACGCGAAGGCAAACAAACAATATGGGCCTATAGCAAACAATACGTGCATATACCTTAAACCCTGAAACCCTTAAAAACGCAGGCCTGTATTATGTTGTTTTCTGTTTTGTAAGGAATAGTGTTTGTAGTTGTGCAACAGACAGGAAGCTGCTGCTTCTCCAGCTGTGTATTGCGTGAGAATGCTCAACCCCTAAACCGCGAACCCTAACCCTAAACCCCATATGGACTAAACCCACGAACACCGAACCCTCACCCTAAATCCTAAAGCCTTCAAACTCCAAGGCCCTGAAGTATGCTTTCAATCGCTTCTGGCCGGCTTGGGCTGCATGCAGCGGACACGGAAGATGTGCGGTGCAGAGGCAACAGGACTAATGTAGGGGCCGTCATAGTTAGAATAGGGTTTGGGGGTATATTATACTATAAACACAGTAAGGAACCCCTCAAAAAAGTATTGGTAGTTATTTGGGCCCCTAGATTCATTATACTAAGGAGCCCTTCGTACGTAGGGTTTTGGGTCTCTTACACTAAACCCCAAACCCTAAACCCTAAATCCTGAACCCTAAACCCTAAACCCTAAACCCTAAACCCTAAATCCTAAACCCTAAACCCTAAACCCTAAACCCTAAACCCTATATTTTTTTGGGGAGCCAAGAGTCGAACCCCGGCTCCCCCACACCCTGCACATCATCGCCGTCGCAGTCACAAAAGCCCGAGACCGTGGAGGGGAGCTTTTCGGAGCAGAGGCGATCTCCTGGGGGCTTTAGGGTTTAGGGGCTTTTTGGTTTAGGGCTTATAGGGGTTTAGGGTTTAGGGTTTGGAGGCGATCTCCTGGGGGCTTTATGGTTTAGGGTTTTGGGGTTTTGGGTTTAGGGGTTTAGGGTTTAGGGGTTTGGGTTTAGGGGTTTAGGGTTTAGGGTTTAGGGTTAAGGGGTTTAGGGTTTAGGAGTAGCATTTTAGCATTTAGGGCTCAGGGCTTTAGATCCGTTTTGAGGGTTTATAGGGGCCCTAAACCTCGGCCCAGTCTCTCTCAGGCTCGCGCACGCCTTTGGCACTGCAGCTGCCCGTTTGGCGCCACATGCACGACACCGCCTGGTCTGAGACTAAAGAACCTCTGATACAGGGCCTTGATAGCTTGGAATAAGGTTTGGAGGCATACTATATTATCGCCATACACCCGCCATGTATCCGGACATCTATACGACACAAGCTTCGACATTTACGGTTGGGCTAAGCCGTTTAGGGCGCAGGGGTCTGATTTTGTAAAACCACGTGAAAGATGTTCGCGAGCTGGAGTCGACAGCTGTTGAGGCTTCTTGTGATGTCTACCTAACATACAGGCCTTAATGATTAGAATAGGGTTTTGGGGCCCATTATACCATTTAGGCCCTACATTATAGTCTCCATTGTAGTTCTTTTTGTGGCTTAGCCAGCGTTAGAACAAATATAAGAGAACCCAAAAAAGAAACTCATTAAACTGGAGACTGTAGGTAGCCTTTTGTGCGCAGCTTGCTCTTCCTGGGTAGTCGCAGTTAGACCTCTCGATTCATGCTTTTGGGAGGCCTACACCCTAAACCCCTAAACCCCTAAACCGTAAACCCCTAAACCCTAAACCCTAAACTCTAAACCCAAAAACCCTAAACCCCTAAACCCTAAACCCTAAACCCCGCTCTTCGGATTCGGGTCTGGGTGTCGATTTAAGGGCGTGAGACTAGGATTCAGCTACGGTCCTGCCTCGCCCAAGCTTTCGTGGAGTCGTGCCAGAAGCTTGCCGGTAGGTTCGCGCACATGGTAGTCCATCTTTTCCTCCCCCACCTGTAGCAGCTTCGACCAGCAATTTCTTATGCGTGCGCACCTCGCATGTCTGTGTGACCATGCGCTTGTAACCACAAACCATTCACCCTAGCCATGCCCGCGCCTCCTTGGTGTAGAAGCTCTGCAGCTTGCTCAAGAACCGGATCTGCGGCAGCGCTTGTGGCCAGCCAGGTGTGAAGACCAGCAGTATCCTGGGGCTTACTGTTCAGGGTCCTGCGGCTTTCCGGCTATGGGCGTAAGGTTATCTGTCTAGGGCCAAAACTTTGTTCGCTTGCTGCTAGGATGCCGACCAAGGAGTTGAAAACAACATGTGCCAGAAAATCTCTCTTCTATAATATGTATATATATATATATAATAGAGATATAAGAATCGTATTTGTAGCTTTCTTTACCTTGTATTCGGCCGGTCTGGGGCCCGCGGTCTCTGAGATTACCTACAGTCTCCAGTGTAGTTCCTGTTTTGGTTCCAGAGATAGAGAGAAAGAAAGACAGAGACAGCTACAAAGTAGATACAAATAGAGAAACGAATAAGAAATCAAGACACAGACACAGATACGCATGCACGTATAGATACTGATATACGTAGATACAGATGCAAATATGGATAAAGGTACAGATACACATCTTTATTTCAACGTTCATAGATATAGGCAAAGGTATAGGAATAGATGTATAGATATATGTACATGTGTATATATATAGCATACGCACACACTTTAGGCTATACATACCCTGAACCCCAAACTGTGACCTTCGACAACAACATGACAAAACTCTGCTGGGCGTCCGTTGAGGCCTTTGGTACGCCGCGCTGGCATTAGCCGCTGCGGCCAGGTCCTTTTTTGGGTTTAGGGTTTAGGGTTTAGGGTTTAGGGGTTTAGGGGCGTGGGGTTTAGGGTTTAGGGTTTAGGGTTTAGGGGCGTGGGGTTTGGGCGTTTGGGCTGAGGCTCTACCTGTGCATCTCTATCTAGCAAACTGCGGATGAAGTCTGAAAGCCCAACACTACGGTTGAAAATATCAATCCTGCATTACCCATAACAAGGAATTAACCATAATTCCCATAGTTTAGGGTCCTTAGGGTAATGCAGCATTTATATCATAAACACTAACACGCAAACCTGCCACACTTGGAGCTTCAAAAGCAGGATCCGGGACACGATTCGAGTCGTCGGGTCTACTGTAGGGGCCTTAATAACTAGAACAGGATCTTGGGGCCCGTTATACTATAAGCATAATAAGGAACCCCCCAAAATAGTATTGGTAACAATCTAGGCTTCTATATTACTCGGCGATGATATTATACTGGCGGCCTTGTGTTCCCAAACCGTATCCATGCAATCTGTGAAAGCACTTACATGTTCTTGCCTGTCCCTAAACCCTATAGCGCCTAACACCCCAAACTCCAGACCTTGTTACATGTCATTTACCCTAAACCCTAAACCCCTAAACCCTAAACCCTGAACCAGGTTAAGGCCCCGACTCCAGAAGTTTTATAACCCTGAGGAGCTTTATGGCTTCAGGGTGTCGAGGTTTGAACATGTCAAGTACAACTGCCAGAGCTTACTTTGCAGAATATAGGGGGCCTTGATACTTTAAATAGAACTAGACAGACTTTTGTGGCATATTATCATACACTTATAACTTATAATAAGGAACCCTGAGGACTAATGTCGGTAATTGTTCAGGCTTCCACAGCAACCAAGCGAGTCATGGACACCAAGCTTTCGCAACCCCAGGCCCAAATAAAGCTTCGAAGTCTACAGATGGTAACCGGCGGGATGATGTAGAACCAAAACGGATAAAGTCGAAATACTCAGCCACTAATTAGTAGCAACTCCCCTAAACCCTAAACCCCGAAGGGCTAAGGGCTGGCTACGTCCTTTACATCCAAGCATCCACCTTTAGCCGCCAGGGCCCTGCGCCCACCGCGGTGTCGCAGGAGGCATGGATCTGAGTTATGGGGTTCTGTACTTGGAGGTTCATGGGCAGTTATAAGTAGGGTTATAAGTAGGGTAACTATAATTATAAGCCATATTAGGGGACTTATAACCCCACTTATAACTACCCACGAACCTCCAAGTAGGGTTTACAAGGTGTGAATGAGGCTTTGAATCAAGAGCATAAGGCCAAGAAGGCGAGGATCCCTCCGCAGAAAGCCAAGCCCAGCATCCCCCGAAGCCTCCATCCCTAGGGTTGGCGTTGGCTTTAGGATTTGGGGCCCGGGTTTCGAATTAAGGGTGGTAGGGTTTGGACTTTGATGTTTTGGGGGGTTCAGGACAAGGGGTTCCACTCACTGAAACGTAAACCCTAGAGCTTGCCCATGTTCGACTCATACCGAACTTCGAATCCGAAGCCCTACACCCGCGAAACAACACCGGACGACGGAACTGCTACAGCAAAGAGCCCTGAATGGAACATGGCAGAAAGCTGCGGCACAAGTCCACAGAGGGCCTCCCCATCCCAGAGGGGGCTCGTGGCATTCACTTCCTGTCCGACTCTTAAGAGCAACGGTGGCAAAGCAGCAGCAGCGGTGGTGGTGGCAGCGGCAGGAATAGTAGTAGCACTAGCACTAGCAGCAGCAGCAGGAGGAGGAGGAGGTGGAGGAGTGGTAGTAGTAGGAGTACTAGGAGTAGTAGGAGTAGTAGGAGTAGTAGGAGCAGCAGTAGCAGTAGCAGTAGCAGTAGCAGTAGCAGTAGGAGCAGCATTCCGGGTATTGGGACTCTTCGAGGCTAGGACTAGGACTACGAGTAGGACTTTAAAGCAGCTCGTAGAGAAATTTAGGGACCGGGGCATCTGCTTGGACATCAGGGCACGGAGTGGAACGCCCTATCCGAAAGCCGCGAAAGTCCTAAAGTCAGCAAGGGCCATTGAAATGATCAGAGTAAACACAAAAAGTTGGAAGCCGGATAAAGGACAAATAGTGCTGGGGATTCCTATAAATCACTCTTAAGTATTGAGGCTATTGGGTTTCCAGCTTTTCGGGCTTCTACTTTAGTGCGGTGTGTTCTGTACCACCGTGTTTCCATAATAGGGGGCTTGTCGGAGAGCTGACTTTGAAAAGGCTCATACACAGAAAAGCTGAGTACAGCTCGATGAAAAGGACCTAAACACCACATCCACAAAGTGCTTGAGAGACTGCCCGCCCGAAGGAAGGTCATACCCGCAAGCCTAGACCCCAAACCAACACCACCGAACCCTGCAGTTGATGTCCTTGCGGAGGCGCAGACGCCGCTTCTTGCCTAAACTTCGCTGGGTTCTGCTTAAGGGCTTCCTGTTAATGAAGGGGCCTCAATAATTACCAATACTATTTTGGGGCTTCCTTGTTATTTATTATGGTATAATGGGCCCCAAAACCCTATTCTAATTATTCACTAGGCCCCTAGATTGCAGTGTTTGACGGGTTCTGCACTTGTTGCAGGATTGCACGAGGCCAGGCGAAATATATTTGGATGAAGATTCCTGGTTGCTTACGTAACTCCGCAGGAGCTACAGCGCAAGATTCTTGGAAAAAGGAATCCGACGGCATTCCAGACGATCACCATGTCTGCATGAACTGCCTTAACCTTCTCCTATTGAAAGATTCGGGTGATTACCAGGGAGACCCAAAGAAGCCGACGGTAGGATTTCGTGGGCTGCGTTCATCGGAACTGCGGAGACAGAGAGTGAAGATTTTGGGGGGTATGAGAAGCCGGAGACTGAGGTAATGTAGTGGCCTTAAGAGATGGGATAGGGTTCCGGGCGACTTTTGAGTTGTTCTACAAAAAGGAACCCTAAGAATAATTTCGGTAACTGTTTCGGCTTCTGTATTATCGGTGTCCGGAGCCACTCCTACCTCAGGCACTCTAGAAATGCCCAGCCAAACAGACTCCGGAAAAGACAGAGAGCAATTTAGAGTTTACCTTTCGTCTCCATTGTAGTTCATCTTTTTTGGCTACTTGATAGAATCCTTCAATGTATAATCGGCTAAGCCCAAAAGGCAGCTACAATCAGGGTGGGAAGGATTGCAGCTTAGCCACTCAGAGTCTGGCGGGCCTCGTAGAGCTTACCAAGCTTGGCAACAAAAGGGGGCGGCTGCGATCGGAGCGCCGCCACGTCTTGACACAAGCGAATCCAGCCAGAGGAGTTTTGGATCGTCTCTCCTTCCTAGGTTCCCCAGTAGCCCCTTCATAATAAGGCTTATCAGGGTACCCTTGTTCCTACTATTTGGCTTCTAATAAGAACCAACAAGAAAAAGGGCAAAAAGGTACTACCGGGGAACCTAGCTTCAGCATATGCCCATTTGGAGAGAGAAGCCAGGAGCAGAATCGCTCTCAGCACGCCCATGGCATCAGATCACGTGCATGGTGCACGGTTTGGGCTGTCGCTTGCAGTATGATGTAGGGGCCTAAATAATTACAAATACCATTGCGGGGGGTTCCTGATTACATCTATCGTACAATGGGCCCCAAAACCCTATTCTATTTATTTAGGACATTATAGTAGGCCCTCAGTAGGTCGGGTGGAGCTCCCCATCAGTTCTCACCAATCTCTTTAAGCGAGCGCACTCACTTCGAATAAGCATGTTCCTAGCAAGACTGAAGATGATATCAATAAACAGGTTGTTGGTAATAGCAAGAGCAAGAACAAGCATGAGCAAATGTATAAGCGAAAATAACATAGCAACGGCAACAGTAAAATAATGATGACAATGAGACCGAACAATAACGATGGTACTCACAATACTGATAATACCTCATAACAGGCCACTGTAAAAAAAAACAATGGCAATCATCACAACCACACTCATCATCATAACCTTTATATGGGCAAAGCCATGACTTGACGATGCTCTCGACTGACCATCTACTTGCCATCTGACGAGGACACCCTTCCTGCGCTCTCTATGCAAACTTCAATTCGAGCAGCTGCGGGCGAGCCAAGGGTCAGCAGAGTTCGGATTTAGGCGTCATTTTACTGAACTGCTCTCATCCAACATCGACATGCTCAACACAGCAGCGGACTTCGTAGTAGTGGTCTCGCAGAGCCCACGGGAAATAACCCCTCAACCTAATCTCTGAAAGTTCCTACTATAGGGGCCCGAAATAATTAGACTAGGATTTTGGGGCCCATTATACTATAATTATAATAAGGAACCCCAAAATCATATTGGTAATTAGTTAGGCCCCTATATTATCTTCTTCTAGAACTCCCAATGCTTCCCACCTTGGGATTCGAGGCATTGCAGGTCAGGGCCTGGCTATGGTTCTGGAGCTTCAGTTCAGAAGGCTTGCATGTAATATCCGGGCGCCTGAACACTTTGAAGAAAGCTTTGAGGGTAGATGAAACAACAGACTTTTTATCAAGAAGCATAAGAAATAGTAATACTGATATGGTATCAGAAGTATCCGGAGCCGTATCGTAGGACTTTTGGGCTGGGAACTTGGCACTGTTACAGGAAACTCCAGGTGGTGAGTTTAGGTTCTATAGGGCTTCCTTAAGGCTTCTATAAGGTACATAGACCTTCTATAAGGCTCCTATAGCGGTAACTACTCACCTGAAAAGGTCCTAGACACTGTGGCTTCCGATACAAAGCAAGGGTTGCTCAGGGAGTCGGTCAGCCTTGCAGAAAAGCTTGGAGGTTGGTAGGGTTAAGGGTTTTCTAGGATTTAGGGCTTAGGCTTAAGCTTCTTTGCATCGAGTGCGCCTTGGGAATCCAACTCGCGAGTCTTGCAACTGCACCGAAACTCAGCATCTTCGACAGGACTCTTGGTCTTATGTTGCTGCTTCTGCTGTGGAGGTTCTGGCGATGAGGAAGTGGCAATATGTAAGCTTGTGCTACATTCTGAACTCTAAACCTCAGAAGCCCCAAACTCCCAAACCATCTAAACCCTCTAGACCCTAAACCGAAACATTGCAAAGCAACCAGCTGACACCCCCCTAAACCCTAAACCCTAAACCTGAAACCCTAAACCCTAAACCCTGGCCGCCTGGCTGCAGTCGACTTCCGCATCTGCCCACTGCCGCATCTTCAGCCGGGCAAAGGCCTTCAGCAAGCTCGAAGAGGACCCAAACAGGGGCTTCGGGTTTAGGGTTTAGGGGTTTAGGGTTTAGGGCTTAGGGTTAAGACTGCTGGCATCGTCGTAACTGCGTTTGTCATCGTCGTCGTCGTCGTCGCTCGCACGTGCGGCTGCAGTACTTAGGCAATAACAGGAGCAGTTGGAGTTGACAGAAAGCACTAGACGAGGGAGTCACTTCGGGAAGAGAGACCGTGGCAGGAGAACGGTTTAAAAGAGAAAATGCGCACGGCACTGCGGCGAGAAAGGGATGCCACAAGGAGGAATGCGCAAGATTGTGTCAGGAGCGCGACTCCTGAGCACAGACCTGCCAGCACCCCTAATGACATCTGGTCACGTCGGTTGTGCGTTACGTCAACATTCCGCCTGTGCACATGTATCGGCTTTCTAGTGAAGTCTCAACAACGCATCCATGCAGGCACCTCAACTGCAAAATCTAGACTTTCGGGCTTGCAGGAGTGTTTTTGGTATGGGCATACGGCGATAGAGTTTCAAGGCAGCCTGCACATCCTGATAAACGGGGACCAGGAAGTACCATACAACAAGCCCTCCGGCCCAAGCTCCGTTTATCCCTCCAAACCTCACATCGACATTGCGATGAGAGTCTTGGCCTGCACACAGAAGGCCAAAACCCTCAACCCTCAACTCTACACCTCAAACCCTAGACCCTTCGTCCTGAAATCCCAAAACCCTGCATTCTTCCCACCCAGAATCCTGAAAATCCTAAACCCCAATTAATTTAAATGCGAAACCCGACCTCCTAAACCCCAGAATCCTAAACCCTAAACCCTAAACTCGCCACCCTCAACACCTTGCAGCCCGGAGACGCGATTCGAATGTAGGATGGCACGCAGAGTTGCCGTGACCTTGGGAGAGGCATGGACATGAACTCCTCTTCTCAAGAGTGGAAGGCTCAGGGTTTAGGAGTTTAGGGTTTAGGGTTTAGGGTGAAGAGTTTAGGGTTTAGGGTTTAGCGGTTTAAGGTTGAACGGTTATTAGAGGTGAACGTTCCCAAACCCAGATTAGCGCGAGCTAGGCCCCAAAGACCCTAAACCCTAAACGATAAACTGATTTGAGTTTGGCGTGCTGGGATCTCCTGCAGACGATCAACTCGGTTTAGGGTTTGGGGGGTTTAGTGTTTAGGGTAACTCAGTGTGAAGAAGAACCTAAATCCAAAAGCTCCAACATATACCCTAAAAGCCCAGAACCAAACCATCCGTTGGCTGAATCGTACTGCATTTAATTAATTTCATGATGGTTATGACGGTTTCTATGACGAATATAAGTATTTTCAATATTGACTGTTCATACCTTTGCAAGAAGCCAGCCGAGGTCGGGGCACCAGTCACACATCCTGACTCCTCAACCAGCCAGATCGCTTTCGAGAACCATCTGCGACATGCGGGTCTTAGAGCACCCGAAGGTTGTAGGGTT